CTCTCCTGTGTTAGAGAACGGTCCGTGGAGACATATCACAGAGCTACTCCCGAGATCCCTGCAATTGTCCTATTATCCTCGCTAGAGGGTAGCGCATTCCCACCCGTCATGTTCCAGATAATTATTCTTCGTATGACAGCAAGCCAATACTTTTGCTTCCCATAGTCATGGTGACTTGGTCTAAAGATCATACAATTACGCTTGAGACCTGGTTTAAAATAAATCAGCCTATGTATGTCTCTGGGTGTCAATGCCAGCCATTGGTGACTGGACTAAGGCCTTCAGCTCATTACACGTGACAACCCGGTTTCATAACACACATAACAGAGCAGTGGCACAGTGGTTAGTACACTGTACTCTGAGCCTGTCGACCGTGAGGAGTTCGATTCCCGGCCACGGCTAACATTACCGGCGAGTGATATCCGAAACGTTACTACAGTGCCCTACCTGCACTGACCCGCGTGGTGAAGTATGGTCAAACAAGGCCCCATGATCTACTCCACGTGGGAGAGGCAGTGGGTAAACACAAGGCTGTCAATGGTTGAAATATCATGTCGTGGCGGAAGTGAGAGCTTCCGCAGATTTCTAGAACTCCCTCTCCGCACTGAACACACCTTTGAGTCTGAATGTTGTATTTATTTATTTCACGTTCTGCAGCCAATAAAGTTAACGCCTGTTTTAGAGCCTTCAGCCACCGACCCTGTGTTTCAAAACTACAGCAAGTAAACGTGGATGCGGGATTGTTTCACAGATGGCCTAGTTCCTGTCATAGCATTGCGTAATCTCCAAACAGCGTTGGTCTGAGCATTTAGAAACCTTTAGACGAGATTTTTTTTATCATTGTTTTTGTGTACATGCCATCTTCATTGGAGTGGTGGCACAGTGGTTAGGGCATCGCGATACTGGATCCGGTAATCGTGAGCTCAATTCCCGGCGCACGGCTAACATCAGTGGCGAGTTTATATCTGAACCGGTCCTGTGAGGGTCTCTCTAATCACCAACACGCACTAAGCAGAGTGGTTAAGTATGGTCAAACAACCCACCAACAGTGTATTTACAAAAGTACCGAGCCTGTACATATGCTTATTTGTTGAAACAAGAAAAAAAACCAGAAGCAAAACCAGATTCTCGTGAACTCTGTACTCTGAGCAGCAGCAGCAGTAAACGTTGCTGGGGCTGTAGAGTGCAGTCGATGGGGAAGCCGCCTGTGGTCACGTGACCTGAGGCATGCACTTGAGTCATATCGTGGGTGAGTTTTTCATTCTTTCTGAGAATCCAACTTTTAGAATTTCCTTCGCTTTACAGAATTCGCCGGTGAAACCCCTTCGGAAGCGGAGCTCGGTGAGTCAGGGGTGGATTTTCCAGGAGACGCCTCGTTTTTTTGGCACGGCTTGAGCAAAAGTTTTTTCTCAGCGTGCCAACTGCATGCACAAGGCTGCACTGCCTGGAGCGTCTACGAATGCGTTCATACAAACGATAAAAACATGGATTAGTTGACCTTAAATCAGAATATTTATGTTATATTGGAGGATTCCGATGAGCTGCAAAGCTCTTTTTCACAGATCAGAACGTTGCAACAACAAACAAATAAAAACAAAATGACAGGAGTGCAAAGTACAGGAAAGGTAAGGAAATAAATAAAAAATACAAATTAAACTAAACTATTTAATTACACCAGCTAAGACCCACTGAGCCATTAGCTTCTTTTTCAGAAGCGACATGGCCACAAAGGATAGCTCAACGAAGTTGCATATCGCGTGTTTTTAAATGTGAAGGGGAAAATTGAAAAGTGTCGAAAGCCAGTAGGCAAGATACTGAGCCCTTAATATACACGCCACGTTACGCACCGTCCATATAACAAAAACGGTCACTGCATCGCGCGCTTTCAGACACACTGCTGCGGCCGTCTGGAACACTCTTCCCTCCGATATTAGAAAGCCACTTTTAAACCTAGATTGAAAACAAATGTCTTCATAACTGCTTGTTATGTTTAGTTAATTATCCTTTCCCTGCACCTCCGATTATCACGGTTGTCTGCGTACGGTCCGAAAGAAGTTCAGCATACAGTACTTGCATCTTGTGAGAGGGATGCATGCTTGATCGTTTCTGCGTGGATTTAATGAAAGTGAAGAGACAGAAAGAGGGATACGTGGATTACAGAATGTACGGCCATGAATGACATTATTGAAACTGTTATGAAAGACGAGCTTTGGGCAGGGCACGTTACAGCCAGAAGGGACGACTGCCGATGGTCAAGAATAACGATGGAAGTGGCAGCCAAGGAGCGGAACGCATCCGAGAAAGTGTACACAGAGGAGATGGAGCGACAAAATCAGCTCCGTGTGCAGGGTGGATTATTATTATAACATCGCAGGATCGTGAGAGATGGCGACGGCTTGGGAGAGGCCTTCATCCAGCAGTGGATTGAGCGTGGCTGATGATGATGATGGCACACCTCAGCAGTGTTCAGTGCCTGCTCTGCCACACGCATGACACAAACGTGACACGCATGTCTTCAGCATGGTCACGGTTTTCAGGGGTTCGCGTGCAATGTGCGTGCGGCCAGATTATTCGTGTGGCATTTGCATTCGAGCGCCATTGCCTCACCCCAAAGGTCTGGTTGTAAAAAAAAGGAGAAGTTACTAACGAACGTCTGATGTCATGCGTTTAAATTTTTTTTACAACCAAAACACGGAACGGATTCGGAACTCCCACCTGTATGGCCATCGTTTTACGAATCTCGATTACTCAGAGAAGTCTCGTCCTGCTTTCGCGAGGTGTGGTTCATGTCTGGCTGCTTGACATCGCCCTGAGTTGGAAAAAATAATTTAGTTTTCGAGGGAGGAGGGCGGCAGGTGACGATGGCGTTTGGCACGGTTCAAGATTGTGGCCTCAGAATGAGAGACTACTCGTTGCGTTGTGATGCAATCGGCCTGACTTAAAAAAGAATAGCAGCAACAACAACAACAACGGCGCACTCTGAGTCATGTGAGTCTCACGCCACAGAGAGAATCAAAATCTTATTGAGAAAAAAAAAGTCTTGGCAAGTAGACATCTGTGTTTGTTAAGAGACCGCAGCACCATGCGAAACCCCACCACACACACACATACAAAGATCCCCCGTGTAGCCGTAACAGACTTTTGGGGCAAGTGCTGTGAGTGAGTAGCACTTATGAAGGCCGGCACGGCACACGAGGGGGTGGGTGGCGGGCACCACGCTCGGCCGCCTTTGTCTCCCTCGTGGCGATGTTCACGCATCGCTTCAGGTTGAGTCGACCCAAGGGAGGCCCAAGACCGGTTCGAATATTCGCCACAGGTCCGCACAGACAGGTTCACAAAACCAACGCGTTGTCCTTCCTCGTGGGTTTTGGAGAGTCACGAATCTCGATGTGATCCATCAACCCTCGCTCGCGTCCGAGGCAAGCGCGTCGCGTCCGAGGGACGGCGCCGTGAGGTGGCCAGGAGACGGCGACACTCCGTCTCCAATCTCTACACAACAACAACAACAAACAACCGCCATTCGCCACTAAGTGGCGGCGACGTCGTCACCTCGGCGCTCGTACCCCAGGCAATGTGCACTTTAAGGCCACGTGAAGTGTCGGCAAGCTGAAGTCTTCGTGACGTTATAATTGGGTCTTTCGGTAAAGCCACGTAGATAGAAAATAATAATAAAAATATCACGACGTTTCGATCTCAACACAAGCAACCGTCATCACCGTGGCTTTACCGAAAGACCCACTGAATATGAATTCCCGCAGTCACGAAAGCTTTAAGTCAAGATTTTGTTACATTGTTTATTGGTCAGTAAGTGTAAGGGGTCACCGGCCCCCTCGCACCCGTCCAGAGGCCCCCCACTGGCAGCTGTGGTGGCTACGAGCACCATCAGAGGAAAAACCTTCTCGCTCATGCCTCATCCACGACACGAGCTTTAACCATCCGGCACCGCCGAGGTACCTAGGTAGGGCGTTGTTTTTTTCTTTCCTGGACGATCTCCACAGTAGACGGCATCGCAGACATCTCCCCTTTGGCTGCCGTTCCGTTATCGGTCTCGACCACCGGCTGTCATCCTTCATAGCAGCGTATCGTGTACAAGTCCGCGTACGGTACCTTATCAGTCATCGTGATGGCTTGAACTCTAAGACACCGTGTCTTTGCCTTTGTGTGTCTATGTCCGTGTTCGATTCCTGCTCACGGCCAATTGGAACAGGTTATTTGAACAGGTTCTGGGTTACCCTTCGGTCGACCCAGTCTCAAATGAGTACCTGGTGCAATGTGTAAACATCGTCAACAGGGAGACAAAGGCGGCCGGGCGTGGTGCTGGCCACCGACCCGTTCGTGTGCCGTGCCGGACTTCATAGGTTCTCGCAAACAGCACTTGTCCCAACAGTCTGTTAATAGGCTAAACGGGGGATCTTTTATTTGTATCTTTGTGTGTCTGTGACCATTGTTTTTTATTTTGCTCGTGTTGGGGTTAGGGTTTAGTAACGCGATGACACACACATTGTTACTAACACATTGTTACTAACACACACACATTGTTACTAACACACACACATTGTTACTAACACACACATTGTTACTAACACACACATTGTTACTAACACACACATTGTTACTAACACATTGTTACTAACACATTGTTACTAACACACACACATTGTTACTAACACACACACATTGTTACTAACACATACACATTGTCGCAGTGTAACACAATTACGTGTGTGGTGTGTGTGTTAGTGTATACTACGGCAATTGTGTTATACTGCTAAATAAGTTTGGAGAATGGATTGGAATAATAAAGATGTAATGTGTATATATTCTTCCTACGTGTTAAAATGTGTATATAGATGACAAACAAACACACTGTTGCTAACACAGACACATTGTCGCGGTGGAACACAATTACGTGTGTGTGAACTACGGTAATTTTGTTATACTGCCAAATACGTTTGGAGGATGGATTGGAATAATAATAATTCGTGTGTGCCTGTGAGCAGGGAGGCGGCTCGACTCACCGAGTTCCTGCAGGCCACGGCAGAGCGTGAGGGCCAGGCCAAGGTGGAGCTGCAGCGATTCATCGAGGGGCTGCTCGACCGAGCGGAGAGGGCCGAGGGTCGACTCCTGGCTCTGGGCGCCGCCACCGTCGCCGCCGGACACAATCCCGCGCCATCCAGCGTCGATGCCAGGACCGCAGCGGTGGCCCAGACCGGTGGGCCAGAGCCAACGACTTCTGGCTCTGAGCAGCAGGTACTACTGAACCCTTGATTTAGGAAGTCACGTTACACAGACCGTGACATGTCTAGAACCGTAGACGCCGGGACTTCCATGTGACGTGGCACTTGCTTTGTAAATGTCAGAATCGATTAATTGTTTTGCGCCTAATTTTGCGAATTATAAAAATGCATTTATGGAAGTGATTGATTTAAAAACCAAAAAAAACGATACACCTGTTTCTATCATCGTCATGGTCATTCCGCTGCTGGATGCATGAAGGTCTTCCCAAGCCGTCACCATCTCTGGTGGTCATGTGATGTAGCAATCTAACCCAGCCGCCTGCACATGAGCTGATAATAAACTTTGTAACAATTTTTGTGGTAACGTTACGCTCAAGCACTTTGTTAGTCCATGTGGTAGACCCACGCTATCGGTAAACCCCCTGCGTGAGACGCGCCAATCCACCATGTCAGAATCAGAATCTTTATTTATCCTGAAGAAATCAGATGTCCAGCGGCAACCTTGTGTACCATATGCTCTGCTAGTGGCAGCCGTGTGCTCCTTTCGCTTTTGGAAAGATTTTAAAACGTATTTAATAAGTAATTCTACGTATTGAAAATGTTATTTCATATTCATGATGGCAATTTCAGCTCTGTCCCTCCCCCCGAACAATTATTTCAGCCCCCCCATAGAATATTCTCACCGTCAGACTTTGTGTGTGAGTGAGCGACTCTGACACTTGGGCCCACTACCACCACCATGGGCCACGCAGGCCCGCGCTCGCCTGAACAGCGGCGAGGGGAAAGAAGAGACCAAGGGCAGCGATTTCACCACCACCAGCAAGAAACGACACGACAGGGCACGTGGACGCAGGTGGGCGATGCCACATCCACCCACGCTGCTCCCCCCAGTCTCTCTCCCAGGAGCAATCCAAATCACACGCACATTCGCACATCCTCACCTCCGATTAGCACAGCTGGCTATGCACGGTGCGAAAGAAGTTCAACATACATACAGAGGTGTAAAGGTAAGGGGCCATCCATTTAGTACGTACGCTTGGAAGGGGGAGGGGGGGTTAACCCAAACGCCTACGCTTGCGTATGGGAGGTCTACTGACAATGTGCTTACGCATAGGATACGGGGGGGGGGTGGGGGTGAAGCCTCGATAATAATTTGTCTACATTGGCCTTCAAATGAGCCACAGTTCAGTTTCTTCAGCTGTCAGACAACAAGTACAACCGGGAGAAGTGGGACTGTGGGAGAGGTGTCACTTGTTATGCCACCGTGTCCCCCTGGCTGCGAGCTATCTCGCTGCTGTGCTTCAGCCTGACACTGCGCCTGTTGGCGACATCCCTATAGTACGTCACCTGTTCGACTGCGTTCAGTCGGCGTTTGAACCTAGCGGACAAGTTTTTAAAGGTACGCAACTTAATTCTTTAATGCAGCCAGCGGTGGACTGTTTGCTTAAGCACGTTAATATTCTTCGTTTCTGCGTGGATTAAACATCGGCCGTTCTATAGGATTCGGGGGGGGGGGGGGGTACGTCAAGCGCACGTATGCAAGTGGGGGGGGGGGGTGGGAGGGGGGGTTGTAAAAAGTCCGCGTGCGTACAGGGAGGGGAGGAGGGGTCAAGTTTTGATAGATTTTTGCTTACGGACGAAATGGATGGCCCCTCAAAGGATCAGCCCTGCAATGCCTCGCTCCCGCCACGACTCGAGGTGAGCGCTAGAGAGCTCCGCTGTTTTGCCAGGTGTGGACCGGACAATATCCGGCCGAGTGGTTCATGAGGTTCATAATGGCCGTGTCGGTGAGGCTGAGCCAGCACGACTCTGTTTATGAATTCAAATCCTTCGATTGGATGTCTTTCTATCATCCTCATCATCAGCCATTCTTTATCCACTGCTGCTTGAAGACTACCCCCATGCCCTAGGTTTAAATACAGATTTAAAGCCAGTCTGGACTGAAACCAACATCTCGGTTGTCGCAAGTTTGACGATGTCACTTAAGGATACATTCCCAAGAGACCCAAGCTAGGTTTTATGCATCCAGATATGGGCCACAGCGCTTATTTTACGGAAGCAGGACATCAGCAAATTTACAGAGAGGGCATAATACGCCGTAAAGCGTCGTGATTTTATTACGCTACATTGCACTTCGCGGGCGTGGTGGTGGTAAAAAAAAACAAACCCAACACTGGAGGATGGCTTGGCAAGAAAAGCAAAGTGGGGGTGCGGCGAATCGTTTATCGTAAACCGTCGATTTGCATGCAGAGGAGAAAGTGCACCGTCGTGTTGTGCAATCCTGCATCACTCATGGGAACGTCATTGGCACAGAAGTGGCATGCGTGGTGATGATGCCACGAATGTGAGTTGCACAGGCGACGACAATCCCGGGGCTTCACTTAGCGAGCTTCTGTATTGATTTATTGATATTTTTATTTCAGATTCTTCGTCTTGAGTGTAAAAAGTAAAACGCCTAAAGTGATTTCCTGCTCAAATGAACATTGCGGCTGTTTTTTTTTTTTTACAGCCCCTAATCCAGTTGTGGAAATTCAGCAATCCCTCGGACGACTGCACAAAGTTGTATTTATCGTATTAATTCCCAGCGGGATGATGGGCTGAGTCAAACCCCCCTCCACCCCCCTCCAAAAGTATTTGAACTTATAACCTTCCACTTGCGAGCCTCTCGTTCTGCCGCCCGGTCACCACCTGGCCGGCTTTGGTCTCGTCGATGACAACTTCCAGAATTCTTGTCGAGTCCGAGTCTGTGTATCTCACGGTGTCGTCGGTCTCTTCTTCGTCCGCTCTATGGTGGCTAGGAGATGTTAACTACCTCGCCTGGTATGCAGGAGGTCGTGTGTTCCATTGCGACCCTGACGCGTGTTGTATATTTGGAGTTTGCGTGTCTCTCTCCTTGTGGTCGCGTGGACTTTTCTCCGGGCCCTCCGGTTTTTCCCACCACATTTAGAATCACGCATTTAGAGTATTTGGCTGCGATAAATTTCCACATGATAAGCCACTTCTCAAAAAGAGCTATGCAGCTCAGTGGGACCTTACCTGGTAAAATAAAATGTTAGTGAGAATGCAGTCGACAATTTAGTCAAACACTCTCAGTCGATAATACGGCACGGCATAGTAAACCACTAGTCTGCGCTCTTTCAACGGACGAATAGCAAAACTGCACAAACCCCCTCATGAAGCCCTCCCGTGGCTATCAGTCTTCCACATTGGCATTCAGCTCCTGAACGTATTGCTGTGCACGTGAATAGGACAGTTGACAAATGTTAGTGTGAGGGTTGTGCAATTCCACCCCCCCCCCCGCCAATAACTATCACCAGGCCAGCCACTCTACGAACTCGGTCTCGCCGGGTGTTATGTGCGTTAGTTGCCGTCATCGTCGTCGTCATCACAATCGATGATATCCTTCCTACCGTGGTCTTTACTCCAGCAGCGGCCCCTCCGCCAGTGCCCATCACTCTCAGCCGCTGTCAAATAAATGACGCAAGAACGACTTCTCGGAAAGGTTTGAATTTGTAGCCTCGCACTTTGTCCCCGATTTCACTCCCCACCCCAACTCTGGCCTCCGCCCCTCACCCCCTCCTGACACAACCAACCACACCATGGCTGTGAGAAGCTTGGCGCTGGCTCTCTTCGGTCTCACTAACTACCTCGCGGGAGTGCGAGGATGGGGGGGGGGGGGGGTATTTTGAGCTCAAGAACGAGAAACCGAGGTGTGGAGCTGTGTGCGACCCGCGTTTGATTCCCCGGTGAAGGTTAACGTTGGTGGCGGGTGATATCTGAAAATTGGTTCTGGGTAACCCCTCCTTCTGCCAACCCGCACTGTGATCGGCGTGGTGTGGTCAAACCACCCCCAAGACAAAAAGACACGGCGGAGGACTTCATCATTGTTCAGGTCAAAACTGAAGCTTACAATGAAAACAAATGGTTTGGTGATGCTACTGCTGCATTGGTAGGAGTGCACAAGCACAAATAACTGAAAAGATTTGTCAGTAACACTTCAAAGGGAAAATATATTATTGCCAACGTTTTGGGCAATGGTCCTTCTTCATAGCACATGGATCCAATCTTACCCTCTGGCCCCTCTATCCATGTGCTATGGCATTTGCCCGAAAATCACCTGTTACCTATTTTTTTATTGACGAATGTGTTAGGTTTATTGATAATCAAAAGCAACTTCACATTGTGGCCTCAAGAACAATGTTTGCTATCAGTGCATGTGTCCTGCCACTGCATGGATCAGAAGGATGATCGCCGACAAGGAAATGGAACTGAGGCCAAAACGATTGCGGAGCAACGTGGATAGGTGAATGTGTACAAATACATTTCTAGAAATGCACAAAAAAGGAACACGTAGATTGGAGACATCGTATTGAAACCTCAGGAAAAGTGGGTTTGGCTCAGGACGCGCAGCCAGAAGAGATGATGTCCGGTGGTCGAGACGAACAAAGGAGGGGCAGCCAAAGGAGGGAATGCACCCAAGAGGACGTCCTCTGGGGACACGGAGCTCTGTGAGATCGGCTGGTGCTGCGCCGGGTGGATTGTGGCATTGCGAAACCGCGAGGGGGTGGTGATGGCTCTGAGAGATCTTCATTCAGCAGTGAGTAGATCACGGCTGATGCTGCTTCTGCTGCTAATGATGATGACAATGACGACTACATGGTGATAGCTCTCTCGCTCACTCGGGGAATGGAATGTTTTGACAGATGGAGGGCTTGCTTCTTACGAAGCCATTTGCGATGTCGGGAAATCTCCACCTTGAGGGCGCGCGTGTCAGCGATTGCCACCGCGTGGCGCTAAAATCGCGACCCGGTCACGACAGGCGATGAGCTCACCGCTCCCGTCTCGCCCCCGACCTCGAGTGCAGCGCCGCCGCAGCTCAAACCTGTTTGCATCCTAGTCGTGGGCACGTCGATAATTTGTGCAAACAATATAGAGGTTTTTTCGGTAAAGTCACGTTGTTTTTCTTCAACGTGACTTTACCGAAAAAAACTAAGAATATGAATTACTGCAGTCACGAAAGCTTTAAATAAAAATAAAAAATATTGAGGTTGTGTGTTTTTAAACATATATATTGACTCATCGAAGGAATAATGTACGTACGTTGATCAATAATATCTTGCTAATCGAACGCCTTGCATCGCATCTGGAGCATTCGAATGGCACCCCCCAAGTAGCAGCTGTCCCTGCGTGGTACAGGGTGACTAAAGCCCACGTGGTCTGCAAGTTGGCTTTAGTCTGTTCCTGGGTAGTAAGTGTTATTGTCTAATTGCTTATGCCTCAAAAGTGTAGAAAATGGCTTATTATTCAACACAAACTTTGCTTTTACGCACTTCACGGGGGTCCATAAAGTGCGTAACCACTTTGCGGGGGAAGTAAACACGTGGTTGTATCATTGAGGGACTTTTCTCCACGATAGGAACGTGCGATTTCCACCACTGGCTCTGCAGCAGGGCTGTAAAATCAGCAGATGGAGAGCGATGCCTCCCTGCACATTCGAGCAGGAAATCATCGCGACGTGACTAAAGCCTCGCGCCACCCCCAGCATTTCCGTATGGGCTCTACAAAAAAACAAACCCAGGCCCTCCCTTCTCCACGAACATATTTGACACTGGATATCTATTTGGTTTGCTGAGCGAATTCTTGTGGTGCAGACGTTATCTTCATCATGCAAATAGCACCCTTCCCGGAACCTCTCACTGGCCCGCCCTCTCTCCCTCCCCCCTCTCTCCTGCCGTTGCACTTCGCACCAAGTTTCTGTGCAAATGAATTCCTCGGTCATCGGGGATTGCATGTTGGAAGGGAAGTTGACTGCATGGCTCACGAGTGCCAAGCTCTGGTCGATGTGTGTGTGTGTGCTAAGTACAGTATCTGTATCGGTTGAAACGTAGTACAATTGGATTACACGTGATGTTGTCATCGCTTATAGAATATTTGTAATGGCACAGCAGTTTGAACTGCTTGGCTGAAAGTTTGAGAATGTTTTCCTTAAATATCCTGGCCTCTCTGCGCTGTGAAGAAGGGCCATTGCTCGAAACGTCACCTATAATATATGGTGTTAATACTGGACGTCTGAGTGAAAGAGCTTCACAGCTCATCGGATTCCTCCAGTATAAATACATATTCTGATTCTGATGGTGTTATTGTCCATGGTGTTTTGACCAATGTGTTTTTTTTGTCAACTGCCCAGTCTACGTTACACAGGGGGGCAGGGGTGCTGTGCATGGATTCCCGTACCAGGCTCAACACGCAGCTGTCATGTTTTGTCAGTGGCCTTTCAAATTCCATATGAAAGAGAGAAACTTACAACGATCACATATTCACACGACACGTTAGTGTGTTGTGTTTTCTCGCATTGTAAACCCATCTCAGGCTGCTCTCTGATGATACGTCTTGAATGATGGCTGATGTCTTTCTGTATACCCATAGTTGTCCCGTTTCTCACTGGACGGGGAGCACTCTTGTTTAGATCGTTGACTTGTATTGAGTAGATTCTGAATTCAAGTCCTGGTCAAGGGTCGACTCGGCTCATCATCCTGGCCGGGGGTCAATACATTTATTGTACAACTTGCTGGGAAGTCGTCATCGGTTGTCATTCGGATAAACTTGCCCCTCCCACAGTAACGTGGAATTTTCCGGTGAACCGAGTAACCCGAGCTCGATTCCCGGTCACGGCCGACATCGAGCGATGTCTCAACCGGTCTTGCCCGCTCTCTCCCGCAACCTCGCCAACCCGGACTGACCAGCGTGGTGGAGTATGGTCAAACAACCCCCATTACTGTCACAGTACGGGGAGGCCTTCATACAACAGTGCTCTGACATTTGGCTGAAAGTCATCACGAATCATTAATATTTTCCGCCAGGGCGTGCCGGGCGGACTGGTTGCCCTGCATGTGGAGGAGGAGGAGGAGGCTGTCGCATGGCCCTGTGGCGATGTGGGCTGATGTCCACTCACAACATAACATCGACATACGTATATGTATTCATTAATTACATAGCTTTTCTCGTGCATCTTGTGCGTTTAAAAGTTCGCGCTAAATAAATTCACATGAAGCGGAATGATTTCGTTGTTCGGTATAACATCTCGCTCCCCTCTCTCACGTTGGCTTCTCCCCCTCCTCCTCCTCCTCCTCCCTCCGCCACCGCCACAGCCCCCAGCCCGGCAAGGGCCCCGCGGCAGCGCAGAGCGGCGCGGAGAGCGGCGGCGGCGACGCCGACGGCAAGGCCGCCGGGGGGTCTCGGGGCGGGGCCGGGCGAGGGGGGAGCGCCCCCCCCTCGTCGCTGCGTGCGGCACCCCCCCCGGCGGCGTCTCGCTCGCGCTCCGGCTCGCGGTGTCCCCGCGCGTCCGCGGCGAGCTCGGCGGCCCTCTCCGATGGCACGGAGAGCGGAGTCTCCGAGGCGTCGGGGTCCGGCTCCGGGAGTCCCGGTGGCAGTCGCGGCGGTGGTGCCCGCGACCCACGGCGACGCTCCGAACCAGCGGGTGATCCACTGCAGTGGCGCCAATTTTAGCCGCTCTCGTGACGTCACTGCAGTGCTTCTGTTGTGCCACTTGAGTTCAATGTAAATCTTTAATTTCCAATACAATGTAGCGTCAGTACTCAATTGCTACTGCCAGACACTTCAAAGTCTTATTTACCTTTTCTTCATGCTCGCGTGTGGCAGCCCAGCACACACTCAGCCTGATAGGAGCAGTTTGTGTTCTATTGGGATAAATCTTCCTGTAAGACGATGCGAGTCTCACTTTTACTGTTGCGTGTTGTTCACACCCATCTTAATGTCTGCTGCTGCTGCTGCTGCTTCTCCTACTGCTGCTCGCAGGAATCCAGCACTGCCCGGCGAGCATCGGCGCTGGGTTGCCGCGTGGAGCTGGCCGCTCGCGACGCGGGGAGGATGCCCTCTGCCTCGTCTTCTCCTACCTGGACGTCCGCTCCCTCCTTGTGGTATCACAGACTCACCCGCTGCTAATGAAAATATCCTAGCTACGGTGGCTAGGAGATTTTAACTAATCACCCCACCTGGACGTCCGCTCCCTCCTCGTGGTATTAGACACACCCGCTGCTGGGCGGCGAGTTAACATCTCGCAACATCAAGTTAACACCCTCGCCTGGTATGCAGGAGGTGGTGGGTTCGATCCCGACCCTGGCACCTGCTGTATATTTGGAGTTTGCATGTTCTCTCTCTCTCCGTGGTCAAGTGGATTTTTCTCCAGGTCCTCGGGTTTTTTCCCTCCACATTTAGCATCACTCGTTTAGAGTATTTGACCGCTATAAATGCCCACGTGATCGGTCACTTAATTGAGCTGTAGTTTATGGCCACGTCGCTTCTGAGAAAGAGCTATATAGCTCAGTGGGCCTTACCTGGTAAAATAAAAAAAAACAGTTTAGTTTTAGTTTCGTTTATAACAGACAATCCACACTCCCGAGCCACTTGAGTCATGGGGCCTGTTTGACCATCTCTCGCCACGCTGGTCTGTCCGGGGTTGGTTAAGGGACGGCCCTGGCACTCACTCGCCAGTGATGTTAGCTGCGGTCGGAAATCGCACTTGGGTTCGCTTGGCACGTTGCGTTAGCCCCACGTCATCGCCGTTCCCCCCTACACAACATGCAGCTCCGGAGCCAGATGCGAAGCGGTCTAGCGCTATGCTGCGCTATGAACCCGGCGACCCGGGCTCGATTCCCGCTCACGGCCGACACCCAGTGACGGTTATCTGAACCGGTCCTGGGCCTCCCCTAGGTCGATTCAGCCTCAAATGAGTACCTGGTGCGGTGTGTAAACATCGCCGCTGGGGAGACAAAGGCGGTCGGGCGTGGTGCTGGCCCACCCACCCCCCCCCCCCTCGTGTACCGTTCCGGCCTTCATAGGCGCTCGCTAACAGTACTTGCCCCAACAGTCTGTTAAGGCGATATGTGGGATCTTTGTCTGTGTGTATTCACATGCATTGTGGCTCTTGAAATATTGAGTTTTGTACCGAATTAAAAAAATGGCTCTTCGTGCTATTTTGGTCACCGACCCCTGTCCTCGGCGGAGTAATGCGCGGACTAAATTAAAAGACGACCGAGATCTGAAATGTCGTGAACAATGTACGCACGCGGCAGTGCTCCCGGATAGATAAATAAATGAATGACGCGGTAATTGAAATCGTCGTTCGAAACGTTGGTAGGTAACAGAGGGTCGTGCAGCAAAATCCAATGTCACGCACTTCTGTGCTCGGAACGGAATCGTTTTTATCGACGTCACTGCCATTTTTCTGATCATTCCATATTCTTGGTTCTTTCGGTAAAGTCACGCAGAAGCGAAACAACAAAACAATAAAAATATAAAACAATAAAATTCGTGTTTTATAAAAATATAAAATAATAAAATTCGTGTTTTATTGTTTTATATTTTTATTGTTTTGTTGTTTCCCTTCTGCGTGACTTTACCGAAAGAACCAAGAATATATATCTGAAATGTTATCTCTATGCCTGATTTTCGATTTTTTTTTTTTCAAATCGTTTGATAAAAAAATACATTATCCGGGGGGCGGGAGGAGGGAGTGGTGGAGAGGCCACATCCCGGGCGTACGTGTGCACTGCAAATGTTGATGTTCAAGCGATACCGCTCACGAATCAAATCTGTGCACGACGAGAAAAAAAACCCAGCACCGCAGAATAATCGTCGTGCAGGCCGGGAATCCCATTCTTTTCAAATGACACACGGAAGAAATGGGTAAACAGTCCGTTGTCCTTCCACCCGTACGCCCGATTAGCACGGTTGGCTACGTACGGTGCGAAAGAAGTTCAACATACGTACGTACATACAAACGGCACACGGCTAAGCGCCACCAGTATTGCCTGAAGAAGTGCACTGTGGCCCTCTTCGTCCAAGATCACCATCCAAATCGATTTGAGCAAATGCGACCGACTGACAACAACAGCAGCAGCAGCATCGGCAGCGGCAGCGATATAGTCGACTGTGGACGTGGTTTCGTTCTCGCTGGGACTCGTCAGCACGGTGTAGTCGCCGCTGTTCACCGCCGTAAAGTCTGCCCTCTGGGTGCCGAGGTTTGCCTTCAGCGATGCCGCTCATGCAGAGCCTCGTCCTTGTTGCGCCAGGCGGGGGAAGTGTGCGTGGAGTGGAACACGGTGGCGCGGAGCCCCAGGCTCTGGGCTCGAGTTGTCCTGGAGAACGCTCGCGTCTCCTCCAAGGTGAGACGCCTTAGCGGGAGGCACGGCGTCGGAGTGGCGTGGACACACACGCAGCACACACAGCATGCAGCACACACACGCGTCACGATTAAGGGCGCCCCGCGTCGCATTCATTAGCGCTTGCTTAAGTTGGTTCTGCCGCCGGTTAATATTTCACCTGTCGCGGTTCAGGATAAATGTGAAATAATCATACGCAGACTCTATAGGCCGTACGGCGACGCATAATCCGACCGTCAAATATCCACCTTGACCAATTGTCCGCCCGTACCCAGTGGTGTATTTGTGCGTGGTGTAACCGTAATTTCCTTGTCGATGTTTACGCATCTCACCGTTTCACACAATCGCCTATATCACAATCCCCAGCGAGTCGGATGTGCGATATTCACACTATATATACTGTAATGTGTGTATATTTTGCACTTTGAGAGCTGTTACAGACGTTCAGCGCTTAACGAATTCAAACTGATGACGACGGTAATGATGACGATGATGATGTGTGCTGCGTCGTCTCCGGGGTCACTTGCCGGTCTCCCGCGCTGCCCCCGTATCGCCGCGCCATCCCGGCCACAGTTCTTGGTGTCGCTGTCCGCACGCTGCTCGCTCTGCCGGAGCCTCGTGCTGCACAACCTCAAACCACGGCCGCGGCGCAAGGGGGAGAGCCGCGAGGAGCACGCCGCCACCACGCGGTACTTGGGCCCCTCGCACCGGCACATCGGCACCGCCAGCACATGGGCACGCCGGCACTCCGGAACGCCGGAACTCCGGCACATCGGCACATCGGCACACCGGCACACGGAGGTCTGCTCAGATTAAAATCAGTACCTTGTTGCGGGCAGGGGCTGCCTGGAGGCTGGGCTGGAGGCGCTGATGAAGGTGGCTGGCCCTCGCCTGCTGGCGCTGAGGGTGTCCGACTGTCCCCACGTACTCACAGAGCGCGTGCTGTGGCTCGCCGGCTGTCACAGCCGCAAGCTGCAGGCACTCACCTACAGGCGAGCTCGCACACACACACACTTACAGGCACGCTCGCACGTACACACACACACCTACAGGCACACTCACACGTACACACACTCACCTACAGGCACGCTCGCACGCACGTACACACACACCTACAGGCACACTCACACGTACACACACTCGCCTACAGGCACGCTCGCACGCACGTACACACACATCTACAGGCACGCTCGCACGTACTATACACACAAATACACGCTCACCTACAGGTAAGCTCACACGTACGCATGTACACACTCACATACAGACACGTTCGCACGATGAAAGCCAGGCGGTGTGCTGGTGGAGGGCTCGCTAATTAATCAGCTGTTTGATCAGCACGTTGCTAGAAGCCCACGACTCGGTCCACGTCGTTCCCGTCATGAAATTTACCTCTCGCAGTTCTTTCGCCGCGTGTTCTTACAAAGCGGCCGAGGACCCGCGACGTTTCCCGGATCGTCGTCAATCGGCAGGATTTGGTCGATGCTGTTGCATTTGGCGAGGCGCTGTGGCATTGAGTGAGGCCGCGGTATGGATCGGTGAGGAGCTGTTGGTGGCGGGAGGGTGGGGTGTGGGGGGGCGAGAAAGTGACAAGTGGCAGCCGGAACGGGAGGCCGTCCCATCCTGTGTGCGTCGACCGGGCTGCAGTCGAACGCCGGCTGTGGGTTCACATTTTTTTGTTGCGATGCCCGTGACGTTCTTTCCCCGCTATAATTTTATCGCCATGGCTTCGACCGCAGCAGGCGTGTTGTCGTGGGGGCTCTAGGGACCGGTGGAATCATCGGGGCCACGAATTAGTAACGGGAATCGCCAGTGCGCGGTGTCAGCGCCAAGGCATGCGTGCATATACCCATTATTGCCCGCATGAAATCTTCTTCGAGCACATCGAATGGGGCATTCTTTTGCAAATAAACATTTTCTCGCAAAGCAAGGCTGACCTCTGATGAGGCACCGGATGTCCAGAGTTTCACTTGCGTTGAACCAACGCCCATGGAATGACGCACTCCCAGAAGGCCGTGTGGCTGATGTGATGTGTAAAAAAATAAAAAATAAAACGTTGAGGGACAAATATGGCAGGAAGGAGGCGCAATGTCTGCTAATTTATGATGGGATTCTCAACGCTTCTCGGCAAAAGTTGGTTTGATACCTCTTACATGCACTTAGTCGTGTGGCAAGAAATGCAATGGGCTATGGTTCCCGGCCAGCCTGGTTCAATAACTGACCATGGCACGCAACGTGCGAGGTTGCACCTCTGCTTAGCACGGTTGGCTGAGCCTCAGGACGCTCTCAGGAGGGTCCTGCATAAGCTTCACAAATGGGGGTTGGAGAGGGAGGGGCACGGGGGGTGGTGGGGGGGGCGCTGGGCGACGATCGCTGTGAATTTCCCAACGGACTAATTTACCGGTAAATTATCAAAATAAACGGTGCCAATTAGCCGCACGCGCTTATCAGTGGCCGCTTTCACAGAACACGGCAAAGGATGCACGAAATAAATGAAGTTGAAAGCACACTTCGCCTTTTTCTGGTGGATGCAGAGGAGCGGTTCCCGTGGCGACGCTGCTCCGACCCCTCACCGTCTCTCGGGTTTCCTTCGGGTAGCGGCGAATGCGGATCGAGCGTTCTCACCAAAACATGATTTTAAGCCAGCATCATCAGGCGATTGACACATAATGAGCGGCGACGGGCGTAGCAGCGAGTCACCGACGCGAGGCCAGCTTGTCCGAGAGGCACGAGGGGAAGCCTCAATCTAGCAGTGGATCGACCACGGCCGGCTGCGTATTCCTACATCTAGTTGCGCTTGGAGCGTTTGCTTCTTGCTATGGGTGACTGGATTCACGCGTCGTCGTTAAGGCGGGAGCCGTGTCGTGATGTCCGAGTTAAAACATTGAAGGGGTCGAGGGAGCAGGTGGGCAGAGGTAGGCAGTAGGGTGGGGGGGCGGGGTGGTAGTGGGGTTGGGCGGTGGGGGGGCTACCGGTCCTGGCTCAAGTACGCGCTGTGCCGCCTTTGCCCCGAAACAAATCTGGCTGTGCAGGCTCCTGTGTCCTGGCCCGCAGCTGCGCGTGGATCGATGTTAGCCGGGCGGGTCGATGGCGCTCGCCTTGTGGGTGTGTGCGGAGAGGCCCGCGGCGGCCGGGCAGGGGATCTATTCTCCAGAGAGTGCCTCGTCTCTACGACCTGTGTGCGTGCGTCACCGACCCCACTCGCGTTTCCTTCGTCATCGGAGGGGAAGGGGCGGGGGGGGGATAGGAGGTCGAGGGAGGTTCGGGAGCATCTCTCATGGCCGGAAGTCAAAGGTCAATGTGTAGCAGTGGGGCTCACCCATTGGGGGCCCTATATGCCACGAGCCAAACAGGTTGGTTGGTGTCACCTGTAGTGGCTAATGCTACCACAGTGTCCCCCATGGGCGGTGTCCACCATAGGCATTGTTTATCATGGGCAGTGTTCACCATGGGCAGTGTTTACCATGGGCAGTGTCCACCATCGGTAGTGTTCACCATGGGCAGTGTTCACCATGGGCAGTGAGCTTAGCATACACATTGAGTTTGGAAGACAAACTGAATATCCGTATTTGTTTCATATCAAATTCTTGTTGTTTGTTTCCGAACTCGCTTCTCTATCGACATACTCTGGTGCCATTTAAAGACATTCATCTCATACAAAGCTACCACGCAGATTTTGCTATCGCGCAGATTTGCGATCGAGAGAAGGAAATATTCAACAAAACATTTGATAGCATTGGCCACCTTGAATGGTACCTATTAGAAATGTTCAAATTCCCAAGGACCACTAAGAATGTTTAAGCCCCCCCCCCACCCATACCTTTCCGATAACATCCTAGCGAGATTACCTGGTAAAATAATAACAATAGCTATCACGTCACACTTGCTATCAACTTTCTGCCAACTGGCATTACATTAAGATGCACTTCTTCTGCCGCCATCTGAAATGCTCTTTCCTACAGATATTTGGAAGCCACTGGAGCTATGCACTTTTAAATAATCTAGGTTGAAAACTCATTTCTTTAGAACTGCTTTTCGTGTTTAGTTTGTTGTCCTTCCCCCGCACCTCAGATTAGCATTGTTGGCCACGTATGATGCGAAAGAAGTTCAACATACGTACAACCCCCTAATCCCGTACAGCAGTGGATTGATTAAAGGGCTGATCCACATCCACATGGCAATGGCTTTGGGAGGATTTCATCCAGCAGTAGATTGATCATGACTGCTGCTGCATTCTATAAATGAGCTATGGACATGAGCAGCACATGCGTGATAATGATGGGAGTTGACTGGGCGAGTTGATGTCAACATTCACGATGTTCCACATGGGCTAGAAAGCTGAAAATTGGACACAAGATAAAGTTCAGACCACTTGGTTCTCAGTCTTTTATTTGGCTACTGTACGGCCCCTTGTTGAATCTTGTTTCAACCGAGTACCGCCCCTTGCCTAACCCAACGTGGTTCTGAGAAATAAATGTATGAATAATGAACATCAACATTTTAACCAATTGTCCATTCCGTGAGGTATCCTAACTCGCGAGTAACTACATGCGAATACAAAAATCAACGGAAGCTCTGCGTTGCGTGACGTAATCAGTTCGTGCTCGCTGCTTGCTCTCGGAAACCAACATCGTTTACGATCAGTGACTTTAGAAAGGTGTTTGATATCGTTCTAAGTTACCATATGGATTTACATTTTTTATATATTTTAACAGATTCATACATGATTATTCACCGCACACGACTCTCCATGTACGATATAATTTCGCACATTTAGAAGTCACCTCGCCTGCACCCCCTGGGGCCATTGGCACGTGACCACTAGAGGGCAGCACATCACCGCCGTGGTTTCACTTCCCGTTGGCCAGGACCCACGCGGCTCGTCGCAGTGGAAATCGTCGACCGCAGCCCAAGGCGGTTGGTTGGGCTTGGCGGCGATGGAGTGCGCAGGCGGTGCAACTGCCCCCCCCCCCCCACGGCTCGGAGGGGCAACGAAGGGGCGGGGGAGGTGTAAATTGGAGGGCAGGAGGATGGGTCCACAATTTCAATCCTTTTACCGTAGGGTCCATGCCAACCACGCCACATGCCTCTGTGGTGGCATGAACGTGGCTCGGGGTGGCGGGGCTTTATAATGGCCCTGTCGGAGCACTGAGCCGGCACGGCTAAGATATTTGGATATTCGAATCCGGGTTTAAAAGCCGCCAGTGATTTCAACCGGTTTCTCAAGTTGATAGCCTCTGCCCAGATACCGATGATTACACACACGCAACAACAACAAAAAAACCTAAATTAGTTGCTTATTTATCTTAACTTATTCCAGCTCTGTTAATTTTATATGAACAAGGAATGCGCGTATGGGTAGTTGGAGGAATTTCAGAACTAGTTCTGTTAAGTCATCTCCCAGGGCTCGAGATGACCGTATGGGTTTTTTGCGAGCCTATGCTTCTCTGTATCTCTGGAAGTCTGTAAGTCCTTGTGTGGGTCTATGAGGACTTTGTGAGTCTGTGGGTCTTTGTGTTAGCCTATTGGGTGTGTCAATACGAGTCCATTGGTCTTGATTGCGAGTCACCGGTGGCTGGGTTGAGACCATCATCTCGCTACAAATTAGAACGCGGCCAAATCCTGGGTTAAAACCCAGGTTCTCAGCACTCTGACCTGTGAGCCACCTGGTCTCCTCTACTCCACGTGCGTTTTAAACTTCACTCACGACAATAAAGGACTTGAAATAGCATTTCAGGAGCGCCACCTCGTAACATGATAGCGCCATCGCTGTATTAACGTACGAGCCACCAGTGCTATCGAGGTGTACCTGCTGGTGTGCTGGTAACTTTAGCGACTTTCTCAATGTTAACTAGCAGCCCACACATTCTTTGGATGTGACCCTCCCACCCTCCCTGCGGACGTGACGTCCTGCCAGCCAGCAGGCAGCCAGCATGAATCCTAGTGCTCGGTGGTGCTGGCTCAGCCCTCTGACCTCTGACCCACCAGGCCACAGCCAAATAAATATTTCCATTGCAACGTATTTTATTTCATAGTGATGCGTGCTTGTCCACTGCCTTCGAAACCGGTTGTTTTTGCTCTGATTTCTATTCGCTTCACTATATTGGGACTTCTCTTTATGCGCTGTTGCTCTTGCCACGTTGACGACCCAATTCCCTCCTGCAAATTGCTTGTCCTTCCCCGCACCTCCGATTAGCGCAGTCGACTACGCACATACGTACATGCATACGAATGGTGACTCTGTCCTGGTCTCTCGAGTTCCCCACCTCGTTAAACAAAATTAACGTGGAAGTTGGAACGCGAATGCGTGCTCACGACACCGGCGCCCGTGTGCTTTTTGCAGGAGCAGCACGGACCCCGTGAGTGCCCAGGGGCTGTGGTCGCTGAGCGCCGGCTGCCCGGATGTCGTCTCCCTGCAGGTGGCACCCGGCTACCCATGGTGAAGAGAGACAAGGCACACGGGGGAAAACCGCACCACACGCGCACCGCACTCTCGAACACGCGCCGCACATTCAAACACACACCGCACCACGTGCTTAAACACGCACCGCACCGCACGCTCAAACACGCACCGCACATTCAAACACACACCGCACCGCACTCTCGAACACACACCGCACATTCAAACACACACCGCACCACGTGCTTAAACACACACACGCACCGCACTCTCGAACACGCACCGCACATTCAAACACACACCGCACGCTTAAACACACACCGCACCGCACACTCACACACTGCACGCTCAAACACACAACGCACATTCAAACACACACCGCACCACGTGCTTAAACACACACACGCACCGCACTCTCGAACACGCACCGCACATTCAAACACACACCGCACCGCACGCTCAAACACACACCGCACCGCACACTCACACACTGCGCGCTCAAACACACACCGCACCACGCACGCGCACACATAATGCTTATAAACACACACCACCGGCACGTACACGTAATTCGCACACCTACGCCGCACACACGCTCGATAAACACGCTCAAATGTACCGCGCACGCACGCACGCACGGCACGAGGCACGCGCCGTGCACGGCCCACGCTCACAGCACACAACTCGTCCCCGGCTGCTCTCCACGTGCCAGCGCCCAGGAGGAGCTTTTCGACAACGGCTGCCTCCAGATGATCGGTCGCTGCTGGCCCAACCTGCGAGCGCTGGGGATCGGAGGTCGTGGCTGTGACATCCAGGGCCTGGCTGCTCTCGGTGAGCACTCAAGAGCGAGCTGTGCTCTGGTTGCGTTGCTTGATTAAAAAAAAAAACATTTTGTATTCCTAGATTTGATCGGGCGCAACGATTGCGTGGTCCGACGTGGCGACGGCACTCCGATTGAGACGAGCTGGCACGACAGCTGCGCGTGATTGGGCAGAACGCGTCGCGTGGCTGTGGGAGTTGAGACGAAGTGGTAGCTGCGGGAGAGGAGGGGGGGGGGCGCCGCTGACGTTTTTGCCGTGGCTGCGGATCTTAGCTGGAGTGTGTAAAGATCCAGCCGCTCCACCACCACCACCACTTATCACACAAACACGCAAAGACAAAGATCCCACGTTTATCCTTCAAACAGACTGTTGGGGCGAGTACTGGCGGGTGACCAGCACTATACCCGGCCGCCTTTGTCTTCCCCATGCTGATGTTTACAGACTGCGCTGGGTACTCATTTGAGGTTGAGTCGACCCTGGGGAGATCCGAAACCGGTTCAAATATTCGCCACTGTTATTGTTTGTGAGCGGGAATCAAACTTGGATCGATGGGTCGGTAGCGGTGTGTTAACCACTGCTCTACCGCTTTTTCACACACACACACACATATATACACTTACACACAACAAGATCGCCCTATAGACTTAACAGACTGTATAACAAGAGCTGTTAGCGAGCACCTATGAAGGGCGTCACGGCACACGACGGGGTGGCCAGCACCACGCCCGGCCTCCTTTGTCTCCCTAGTGCCGATGGTTACACACCGTACCAGGTATTGATTTGAGGCTGAGTCGAGCTAGGAGAAGCCCATGACCGGTTAAGATAATTATCACCGGTGGTGACCGTGAGTGGGAATCGAACTCGGGTCGCCAGGTTCGTAGCGCTGCACACACATGCACTCATTCACACACACACAAAAGATCCCCCGTGTAGCCTTAACAGACTGTAGGGGCAAGTGCTGTTAGCGAGCACCTATGAAGGCCGGAACGGTACACGAGGGGGTGGGTGGCCAGCACCACACACACACACACGTATACACACCTATGCACACACACACACACCCACATGCATGTGCACATCACATCACATACAAGGTACGCACGCACACACACCTCGTTCATCCCTCGCTCTCCCCAACCCTCATCGCCCCCCTCCACTCGTCGTCTTTGCCCGCCACCCCCCCCCACCCCCGTCCACCCCCTCACCCCCTCCGCTCCCCCCCCCCCCACCCCCTCCACCCAGTGCGTAGCTGCCGCGAGCTGCGGGGGCTGGAGCTGGACCGCGTGCTGGAGCTGAGCCAGGAGGGAGCGGCGGCGCTGTGCGAGCCGCCCGGCCTGCGCTGCCTTGAGGTGCTGGCGCTCGTCTTCACGCCCGTCACACCGCGCGCACTCCTGCACTTCTCCGGTACCGACGCGCTTCCTGCCCCCGCTCCCCGCTCCGCTATTCCCTAATGATCCCCCTCACTGATCCCCCCCCCCCCCCCCAATCCCCATTGCATGATTCGCGATCCACGATTCCTGATCCCCACTGCAGCGATCCATGATTGCTGATCTCTGATCCATGAAGCACGATTAACGACGATCCCCTCCCACCCTGCACCGTCACAACCCTGATCAATACCGACAGGATCCCTGACCCACGTTCCCCACTCCAGTAATCGAGATTATGTTTGGAAATGTTCGTCACGAACAAAATGCCAATATGTGACACTTGGAATAATGAACATACAGTACAGCACAGTACGTATGTTGAACTTCTTTTGCACCGTACGTAGCCAACCGTGCTAATCGGAGGTGTGGGGGAAGAACAACAAACTAACACACAAAAAGCAGCTCGAATATCGCAAGGAAGAGCGTTCCAGATAGCTGCAGAAGCGCATCCGAAAGGGGCGAAGGCAACAGAACAAACGAGAGAGAGTGTGAAATAGAAAGAAACGGTTAAAATGAGACGAAACAATCAACTTTGAAATCCACTTGGGACCCTGAATCGTGGCAATCTGTCCCGTCTCAGGGTCGGATAAATCATTGAGAGCCAGAGTATTAATGAGCTGTAGATCATCGCCAGGGCATTATTTTACGGCCGATAATTTTTCCGGATCGTATCTTTGATTGCGCGGTATGTGTTTGAGTGTGCAGTGTGTGTTTGAATGTGCGGTGTGTGTTTGAATGTGCGGTGTGTGTTTGAATGTGCGGTGTGTGTTTGAGTGTGCGGTGCGTGTTTGAGTGTGCGGTGCGTGTTTGAATGTGCGGTGCGCGTGTGGTGTGGTTGCACGTGGCTAAGTAGCAGAGGCCATGGCCACTGTGAGGCTTGATGCGGCATTCTGGATGTGGAGATATTTTCGGTGGGGTCGTCATCGACCTCCGGACGGACCTGGCCGGGAAAGAAACCGGGCACTCGTCACCACCACAGGCCGTGATGGGCAAAGCTGGCCCCTTTGTACTCCCCCCCTCCCCCCCCCCACGTCGCTCTCTTCCACACAGAGTGTTGTCCTTCGCTCAAGTCGGTGCTGGTTCACGTTGGGATATCCGACTACTTCACCGACGCCGACGACCCGGAGAGCCAGAGGCTCTACAGGGAGCTCATGGACAAGCTGCAGGTGGCGCCCGCTTACAAAACCCCAGCACACGCGCTCTCGAGCGTTCCGGCTCGTGTCAGTGTGGCCACCACGGCAACATACGCCAGCCGGCGTTCTCTGTCATAGCCGCTTCCGTGGGCTGTTCGCCGAGAGATCTCATCGGTTCCTTGGCCCCGTGACGCCACGTCCCGTAGCGCAATCGGTATGAAATTAGGGGGAATTGACAAAATAACATTAAGTTTAAAATCCCAAACCAGGTTGATGGGCTGAGATAGGAACCACGTGGGCCGGTGCGGAGCAGCGTGAGGCTCGGGGACGGGCAGCAGTGGCCGTAGGAAACAATAAATCAGCGCAACAAAGTGGGGGCTACGCCTCGCTACGATCGCACGAGCGGGGCCAACAACGACGGGCAGTGGGAGGCGCTTCACAAACCTGACGACGCCCAACGTGACAAAGCGCGAGTGTGTGCGAATCTGGACGGGAGGAGGGGGGGGGGGCGGAGACACGGGGAGCGTCACTCGGAGAGAAAGGGGGGGGGGGGGGGCAGCGACAGCCGCTAAGGGGAGGCGAGATGGAATACGCCGCTCGTCGCAGTCTGTTTAATCTCAATCCGTCACCCGCGGGCCCCGATGGGTGGTGGGCTCGCCGGGGGAAGGCTCGTTGCGTTGGCGAGACTATGTCGGGCAGGGATCCCTCGCAACCCCCCACTGCCCCCCCAGCCCCACCCCCAGCCGCCCCTCCCAGCACGAGGGGGCAGGCGCGGAGACGGACGAAGCGTAATTGCTCAGAGATCAAGCGGGGACATGACAGCCGGCTCAAGACATTTGCTGCTCAGGGAAATTGAACCGTCGTTTTTTTTTGCGGCAGGCTCCCTCGCCAGCGGCCCCGCCCTCTTTGTTGTGAGCGCCGCCTTTTATTCCCGTGGTTGTTTTTTTTTGCTTGCCTGCCAGTCGCTGTTAGGGTCGTTTTTTTTGTAGCGTTTGAAAATTCGTTTTCGATATGTACATCGTGATAATAAGGCCGATTTTCTAGCGCGCGAACATGAAACCTGCACCCGTCAAGTATGTGGTGCACTGTTATAGGAACGGAGTTTATTTTTTTTTATCGTGTGTGTTTTGCACCGTCATTTAATCATAATTCGTATCAATTATTTTACTTAAGTTTAACACGTAGGTTTTCACAATTCTGGCTCATCGCCTGATGAAGCTCGTTGCAATCACCAGCTAAACGTCGTACTCGAATTTTTTAATGTTGTGAGTTTACTCTCCAACACACAACCGGTGTGCTGAAGTAGTAACTAATTAGCACGTTTTGTTGATGTGACAAACCTTACTAATTGACTGTGTCAGGTGGTTGGTGGATTTAACGACACAAAAAAACCTTTATCGTGGATTATTTGATTTTGTCATGATTTTTTGTTTTGTGTGTGACCACGATTCTCTTGTGTTTGAACTGCACAGGCACTGAAGAAAAGGCCAGAACTGGCCAACGTGTTGCACATCAAGGCGGACTATGGCTGAGGGCATCGAGGAAGCACGGAACACAATTCCTAAGGGGGAGGGGGGGGGGAGCGGGGAGGAAATCATCAATCGCGAGAGAAGAACCATGACGTCCATCTCGCAAAATGCGAATTCGTTTAAAATAAAAGCCGTCGCGACCAACTCGCCAACGTTTAAACCAACGTTGGCATGTGGTTGGAACCTTTAGACTAACATTGGGCCAACGTTGGCATGTGGTGGGAACCTTTGGACTAACGTTGAGCCAACGTTGGCATGTGGTTGGAACCTTTAGACTAACGTTGGGCCAACGTTGGCATGTGGTAGGAACCTTTGGACTAATGTTGGGCCAACGTTGGCATGTGGTTGGAACCTTTGGACTAACGTTGGGCCAACGTTGGCATGTGGTAGGAACTTTTGGACTAACGTTGGGCCAACGTTGGCATGTGGTTGGAACCTTTGGACTAACGTTGGGCCAACGTTGGCATGTGGTTGGAACCTTTGGACTAATGTTGGGCCAGCGTTGGCGCATGGTTGGAACATTTGGATGAACGTTGGACCAACGTTGGCCCAATGTATGATAGGAGCCTGCCGATTGGTGGTATGTGTGTGAACCCGTGCCGTGCATGTTACCGTGTCAACTGGTGTCACGCAAAATCAAAGGTGCTTTGTAGTCTCATCACCTTTATGCGTCATTACCCAGGAGCCTTTGCTCTTCCTGCAACCATGGCAACTGTTACCATCTCAAACATGGCATCCAAGCAAATTCCACGTACGAATGTTATTAATATTGTTATTATGTTTACAGTATTATTATTGCTCCAGTATTTTGTTTGTTCTAAAACAGAAAACAAACGTTCACACATTGTGCCTCAGATGTTTTGCAAATGCCAAAATAGTGTTCAGTCTTTAAAACTAGGTGTGAGTTTTGTTTGTAATTTATATGTGTGCGTGTTGTAATTCGGAGTGGTCAGAAAGTTTTGAGAATAATATATTGTTTTGTTCTTTCATTGATAGATGTAGTGGCAGCCTTCACTCAGTGGTCAATTGATCAGCAAGAAGGGCCTGAGTTCGATCCCCGTCACGGGTACCTTTTTGTGGTGAAGTTTGCGTATCGTGTCCCTCTTCCGCATGGGTTGCCTTCGTGTTCACCCGGTTCTTCTCACGGCAAACAAACCAAAAAAAACTAAAAATTCTGAAATATTTCAGTGCTGGAAATTGTCCACTGCAAATGACTCAATTGGGATTCCGCACAGCAGCAACATCGCCCCGTACTGTGGAAACTTGGCAACATTCAACCCCGACTCCGGAGACGCATTGAGACTTTCAAGGGATAAACAAGCATAATGATGATCGCCGCAGATTTTAGTTTTGCTTAATCATGATGGAGCTGATGCTGTGTTAAATACACACAGGTCAATTCGAACATTAAATGATCCTGACTTATTTTGAATTCGGGGTGGATCGATGCGCATCGTTTAATATTGGTTCATCTTCTTTGGTTCTTTCGGTAAAGTCATGTAGAATGAGAATAAAATAATAAATTGATAAAATAAAATAACAATAAAATGCTCACGACGTTTCGGCCACAACACAAGTAGCCTTCACCTGATGAAGGCCGCTTGTGTTGTGGCTGAAACGTCGTGATTTTATTTTATTTTATCAATTATTTTATTCTCATTCTTCATCAGGTGAAGGCTGCTTGTGTTGTGGCCGAAACGTCGTGAGAATTTTATTGTGTTATTTTATTTTATCAATTTATTATTTTATTCTCATTCTACGTGACTTTACCGAAAGAACCAAAGAGGATGAATCCTTGCAGTCACGAAAGCTTTAAATCGAAATTTGATATTGGTTCTTAAGGTCAGGATGCACGCATCGAATCGCGTGTGTAAGACATCTGTGTTTTTCAATTTGTTGACGCTGTGAGTGATATGTTCATGCCCAACCCGTTAGCCATCAGAGGCGCTCCTATTCACTACAGGCGATACTATTTTTGTGTTGCATTTCGTAGTTTTGTATAAAAATAGGACGCATATCTAACAGAGAGAGAGAGTCCTTGCATACAGTGAGGGAAAAAAGTATTTGATCCCCTGCTGATTTTGTACGTTTGCCCGCTGACAAAGAAATGATCAGTCTATACATTTAATGGTAGGTTTATTTGAACAGTGAGAGACAGAATAACAACACAAAAGTCCAGAAAAACGCATGTCAAAAATGTTATAAATTGATTTGCATTTTAATGAGGGAAATAAGTATTTGACCCATCTGCAAAACATGACTTAGTACTTGATGGCAAAACCCTTGTTGGCAATCACAGAGGTCAGACGTTTCTTGTAGTTGGCCACCAGGTTTGCACACATCTCAGGAGGGATTTTGTCCCACTCCTCTTTGCAGATCTTCTCCAAGTCATTAAGGTTTCGAGGCTGACGTTTGGCAACTCGAACCTTCAGCTCCCTCCACAGATTTTCTATGGGATTAAGGTCTGGAGACTGGCTAGGCCACTCCAGGACCTTAATGTGCTTCTTCTTGAGCCACTCCTTTGTTGCCTTAGCCATGTGTTTTGGGTCATTGTCATGCTGGAATACCCATCCATGACCCATTTTCAATGCCCTAGCTGAGGGAAGGAGGTTCTCACCCAAGATTTGACGGTACATGGCCCCGTCCATCGTCCCTTTGATATGGTGAAGTTGTCCTGTCCCCTTAGCAGAAAAACACCCCCAAAGCATAATGTTTCCACCTCCATGTTTGACGGTGGGGATGGTGTTCTTGGGGTCATAGGCAGCATTCCTCCTCCTCCAAACACGGCGAGTTGAGTTGATGCCAAAGAGCTCCATTTTGGTCTCATCTGACCACAACACTTTCACCCAGTTGTTCTCTGAATCATTCAGATGTTCATTGGCAAACTTCAGACGGGCATGTACATGTGCTTTCTTGAGCAGGGGGACCTTGCGGGCGCTGCAGGATTTCAGTCCTTCACGGCGTAGTGTGTTACCAATTGTTTTCTTGGTGACTATGGTCTCAGCTGCCTTGAGAGCATTGACAAGATCCTCCCGTGTAGTTCTGGGCTGATTCCTCACCGTTCTCATGATCATTGCAACTCCACGAGGTGAGATCTTGTATGGAGCCCCAGGCCGAGGGAGATTGATAGTTCTTTTGTGTATCTTCCATTTGCGAATAATCGCACCAACTGTTGTCACCTTCTCACCAAGCTGCTTGGCAATGGTCTTGTAGCCCATTCCAGCCTTGTGTAGGTCTACAATCTTGTCCCTGACATCCTTGGAGAGCTCTTTGGTCTTGGCCATGGTAGAGAGTTTGGAATCTGATTGATTGATTGCTTCTGCGGACAGGTGTCTTTTATTCAGGTAACAAGCTGAGATTAGGAGCACTCCCTTTAAGAGTGTGCTCCTAATCTCAGCTCGTTACCTGTATAAAAGACACCTGGGAGCCAGAAATCTTTCTGCTTGAGGGGGGGGTCGTCAAATACTTACTTCCCTCTTTAAAATGCAAATCAATTCATAACATTTTTGACATGCGTTTTTCTGGATTTTGTTGTTGTTATTCTGTCTCTCACTGTTCAAATAAACGTACCCCTTAAAATTATAGACTGATCATTTCTTTCTCAGTGGGCAAACGTACAAATTCAGCAGGGGATCAAATACTTTTTTCCCTCACTGTATAAACGTCGCCACTGGCAGTGCTTCAGGCAAGCCTGATTCTGCTTCTGAGACGGTGTATGTCACAATCAGACGACTGTGTGTATGATGGATATGCGAAGGAGGCGAATAGTCTGCCCGTTTATTGGGCGACAGCAAGCCATGTTAAGTAGCTACATAGAATCATAAAAACTAAATCTGGACTAAATTTAACACGTGAATTTGGTAAACCACTGGAATACCCCATATTGAATCGTCCTGCCAATAATGCCACCGTCTCATCCTCATAACTAATGACCGTCCCTTGAAAAGCGTAACTCATGATTTATGCATATATACATAGAGACGTATTTCCGTATTGAATGTAAAAGAAACGCATCCAGTGTTTTACTCCATCAAGCACTTTACATCGCAGTGTCTGCAGTGGTAGTGGCTTACGTGGCGTGCAAATAAAAAAAATGTATTAAATAGTATGTGCTCAAAGGGGAATGCAACCAACGCACACACACACTCGCGCACTTACAGCACAGGGTGCTCCAACGCAAACATAAACTCGTGCGAAAAATCGGGACTCAACATTTGTTGTGCCGTTCGAGAGTGCCAACCGCCGTACCCGTGTGTCCGCGGTCACTCGGAAAACACTCCGGGACGACCGCGGACACACGCTGCGCGGGCCGCCTCCAGGATCACCCTCTTGCCGAGGTGGTGCCCAAGTCAGCACGACAAACGTTGTGCGCGTGGTTTGTGAACCGTTGGGTCGACGTTGGGCCCCCCTTAGCCAACCGCTGCCCGCGCGAGCTGGCGGGAGGGTAGGGAAGCGATGGCAACGAGGGGTTGGTGGTGGCGGCGGCGGTGGTGGTGGTGGTGGTAGTGGTGGCATCAACGGCTACGGCCATGATAACATCTAGGCCAGGGGTCGGCAACCCAGCGGATCCGCAGCCGCGTGCGGCTCTGTAAAGGACTGCTTCGTGACAGTTATTTATTAGGGACCCATCGTCTCGTATTCACGTGCATCGGCGGCTCCTGAAATGTTGCGTTGCTTTACCGAATTCGAAAATAATGTCTCTTCTTGTTATGTTGTTTGCTGACCCCCGATCTAGATGTCATGATTAATACGTCAACAGCCAAGAGTTGCCCAGTAAACATGGAACGTTGGGCCAACGTCGGTATGTGGTTGGAACCGGTGGCCCAACGTCGAGCCAACGTTACACGTGTACAGGGCGGTTTCAATGCTTACAAATGTAATTAAAACCACATTTTTGTCCATAAGCAGGGAAACTTTGGGCAGGTTTTTTTTAACTCTTTGGGTCTCATCAGCCGAATGTGACCTGTTGAACAATTACTGCTGGGTTGCCTGGTGTTGCAGGCGAGAGGACTCCAGGAAGACTGTGTAAACATTGTTCCAGAAAGCCACTAGGCTGATGGATTAC